AAACACTTTCTCTGTCACCCTTATCACAGAAAACACCTCTGACCTGTTCAAACACAATACTCTTCATCTGTTGCATTGTGCTCATGAATTGCCATTTACCGAACTTTTGCATTTCTCATGAATCCCAAATCACGTCGATTGTTATCCATTCAGTGTGTATACTGCTCTTTCCTGACTTATGTTGCTTTGATGTGCTAACTAGATGCCGCTTTGTGCAATTGGAAAGCTGGTAGTAGATTTTGAAGTTATTTCTCACTTGTTTTGACCAACCAGATTCAAGAAGAGGGAGTAAACAAGACAAAAGGAACAAAGTAAGGGACAATGGAAAGAGATGATACCTAATAAGAAAATCGCAAAGTAGAAACTTATCATATGTGGATACCAACTCTAACAACAATGACATGCACCTTTGGATTAAGTGGCTTAATCTGTCAAGCAAGTCTAATGTTCAACTCTTTTTGTACCTCTTCGCCGTGAAATTGGGCTTCAATGCTCCGATTATCCTATCTGATTCACAATCCTTATTCGACTTGTAGTGCTCGAAGGGTTTCACCATCAAGCCTCTCTCATTTTGTTCTTTCTCTCAACTTACCGTCGCCTTATGGTGCCTGTGAAGGTTTTCACTGATAAGACTCTCTCATTTTTGTTTTCCTTGTGTAGCACGGAGTATTGCTCCTGATGCAAATCATACCTCTATCTTGTTAGACTTGGCACTCTCCAATATTGATCGAAAGGTCTTTCTTTGGACCGTAACGTGGGCTTTGGATGGGGTTAGAAAGAAAGGACAAAAGCTCAAAACAGCTTGAATGGGTTCACAATTACAACTTTTGGAATAAGATCTTTTACAGAACCACAACTTCTACCCCAGTTTCTTTGCTTGGAGACTTTTGAATTTTTATTTTGATGGGACCGAATCGTGAGGCTGCCTACGTATCTTTAAAAGTAATTAGGTCGAACGTAGTTCATGACATAGAAATTGCTTTGTTTTTGTACTTTTCTCTCTTTTTTTTCTTTTTCTTTTTTTTTTCTTTTCTTTTCTTTTCTTTACTCTTTTTCCATTTTATCTTTCTTTTTTTCTCTTCTTTTTTTTTTCTTTTCTTTCCTTTTTTTTTCTGTATCATATATCAAAACTGTGCTGTTGATTCCAAAAGAGGGATATGAAAGAAAATAAATAAGGCTCAAAGGGGTAACAAATGATAAAGTGTTTAGATAGCAGAATAAAATGCCTTCGTCATTCCAATCTTCAAAGCATGCCAAATACAAACAACACAATTAAACAAACCAAAGAAATCATACATAATATCTTTTGACTGCATCAGAATTGATAACTATATCAACAGATTTGTCTTCTACATCTGTTAAATACAAAGCATCATTGGACAACACTCTCGTTACCACGAATGGCCCCTGCTAATATGGGGCTAACTTGCCATTAGCTTCAACCCTATGCGGCATGATGCACTTTAATATTGTTTCTTTATGTTCTATCTGCCCCAGTTTCACACAATTCGGGCTTGAAGTGACCTCAAAATTCCTTTAATTATTTCCCTCAAATGTCCCTATAATCTTCAAAATTATTTTATTGCTTCATGACTAAACTAACTTTTAAGACCAGGCTGAGAATTACGCGTGTATGTCATGTCACTAGAGTCAGCAGGAAAAGAACTATAAAAGGGAAAGAGAACTAAATAAACACTGAATAAAAATAACAGGAAATTGCATTAGACACATGGTGAAAGGGTTCGAACAACAAAAAAAGTAAAATAATTTGAGGTTACAACCCTGGAACAAAACCAGACAACACTAAATGAGCTATTATGACTAAACAAACTAGGAAAAATAAAAGGATAGAAGGGTTTGAGTCACAAGACAATATCCGGATTATAACCCTGAAAATAACCCGGACAACAGAAATGACAACAAAACAAACCACCAAAACTCCTCCCCGGCTAACCAAGAAATGGAGCGCCTTTCTAATTATCAAGCACGACGTCTTAGCCACTGGGTTCCGCATCAATATTTTCAATACCATTACCATCTTCAATATCATTAACTTCAGTCAGTAAGTTCCCAAGAAGATTCGCATGCTCCCTGTCAATGTCCTTGATCACAATTGCCTCTTCTTGAATCACTCTTTTTATTTCTCTTTTCAAAGCATGACAATCTTCATTGCTATGCCCTTGGACGTTAGAGTGGTACATGCATCATACAATAGGATCAAAACTTTTTGCATATGGGTCTGGAGTATAGCCGATGAGCAGCTCAATCAGGCCAGAATGCTTTAACCTTTCAAACAAGCTTGTGTAGGACTCCCAGATTGGCGTGAAACTATTTCTTTGCCTTTGTTCCCCTCCCTGCCCATGTTTCCTAGGGTTGTTGGGTGCTCTAAAATGTTGTGAAGGCAAGAGTACATTATGCGGTGCTGGCGCTCGCCATAAAGAGTGACCCGATAGTTGGACAGATGACCAGACATTGTTCGGAGGATAATACCGAGGTGGATTATGTGGAGCTCGAGGATAGGTTTGGGGTTGGGATTGAGGCTGAGTATATTGGTGAGGCGGACCCGTTGAACCATGTCCTGATCCTGAGACAACCATGGCAATATCATCATGTTCCTTCTGACCCAGCAAGCTTCCTGTGTCGTTCTGAATTGCTTGTGTTGTGGCTTTTAAAGCAGAATAACTCATGATCTTGCTAGACTTCAGCCCATCTTCTACCATTTCTCCCATTTTTACCACATCATTAAAAGGTATACCCACAGTCGTGATCATATGCCCAAAGTAAGTTGGCTCTTGAGCTTGAAGAAAGTACTCGACCATCTTTTTTTCTTCCATCGGGGGATTGACTCTGGCAGCTTGCTCTCCCCATCTTAGCCCGTATTCCCTAAAGCTTTCATTAGGCTTCTTTTACATCTTGGTGAGGGACATGTGATCAAGGACAATTTCTATATTGTACTGGAAGTGTCAGTCAAAGGCCTAATCCATATCGTCCCATGTGTACCACCTGCTAGCGTCTTGGCGGGTGTACCACTCCAGAGCTGCCCCACTCAAACTCTGACAGAAATACGCCGTCAATAATTTGTCTTTCCCCTTGGCGCCTCTCATCTTACTGTAGTAACCTCTCAAATGGGCCACGGGATCTCTGTGCCCATCATACAAATCAAACTTTGGCATCTTAAACCCAGGCAGTTGGACGTCAGAAAACAAACACAAGTCTTTGTAAGACACGCTCATCTGGCTCCCTATCCCTTGCATGTTTCTTAAAGACTGCTCTAAGATTTTTACCTTCCTGGATATCTCATCTTGCTCTATTGTCTTAGCAGGCTTTTCAGTTTCACCGGGAAGCTCAAAATGAAGAGTGTGAGAATATGGATCCGAGACTTTAAAAGGGTTCTGGAGCATAGTATTGGGCATCGGGGACTTTGAACACTGTCTCGTTAGAGTATCGGGGAAAAGTAGATGGATGAAGAACTACAAGAGCATGAGTGGTCTAAGGAGCGGGATATGAGGTGGTTTTGGCGGGTAGGGTGTGAAAAGGTTGTAGGGTGATATCAGCAGCAGTGGGAATTTGGATTTGTGATAGTGGTGAGATAGTTGCAAGGTTTTCAGTGTAGTTAGTAGGGAATGAAGGTGGAGGATGCCCTCTGATCCAAGACTGATACATTTCTTCCATCTGCTGTTTCAACATTTTGACCTCCCCTTTCAATTCAGACTCCGACTCCACAACTCTAGCATCCAAGTCTTTGCTAGCCATGGCTACCTTGCTCTTTGACCTTGTGTTGTATGGAAGAGTTACCTTAAAAACCACAAACCAACCACCCTTCTGCTCAATGAAGATAACAAAAGGGAACAAAATGGGGTCATCCTATTAGCATTAAGGCATTTAACAGCCAAAAATATCACATTGTGTGCAGTGCACCTATCAACAATTAATGGTTCTAGAATGACTTCGAGGGTCAACAGGTCACATGGCATCATCCCAATTTGTTCCCTTCAATCTTTTCTTTTGTTTCTTTTCTGGCACTTGCTTGCTCATTTTCCTTCCTTTTTTTTCTTCTAATTGTCACTTTTTTCTTTCCTCTCATTTCTCACATCCCATAATTTCATCTCTCTTTTTTTTTCTTTTTTTTTTCCTTTTTTTTTGTTTTCCTTTTTTTTTTCTTTTTCTTTTAATAAAAAAAATGATACGATCGAATCCTATGTAGGTTGCCTATGTATCATGACGCCGTATGAATCAGATCTTTGCGTAGTTCGGGAAGATCAGAAATAAAGCAAACAAACTAACGTTCCCTTTTTTTCTTTTTCTTTTTTTTTTTACCTTAATGATTGCTCTGACAAGAAAAGGGAAATAAAAGAAGCAAATTTTTTTTTTAATTTCCTAGACTTAATTTTCTATAACCTATTCTAAACTCAAGCTTAACGGGCATATATATGTTTTTTTTGAAACAAATAATCTATGGAAAATTATTAAGGAAACAATTCTAGAAGAGAAAAATATTTTTTTGATTCTCTTTTTTTTTAGGAAGGAAATCTAAAGAATATACCAAAAAAATATTTTGAATTTTCATTCGATATCCCTAAATAAAGATTGCAAAACGAGAAATGAACAAGATAAAAAAAATTGGATTTCAGTTTTTGATAACCTAAGGAAGAAACTCTAAAATAACACAAGATGAAGTATGTTTTTTTTCTTCTATGTACAATATCCTAAAGTTCTAGTGAAAAATAAAAAGATTTTTTTTTTATTTCTTACATATTCCCCAATGGAGAACCTTAAGAGAAAATCTTTTTGGATTTTTGGAATTAATATCTTAAAGAAAACTTTTGAAGAGGTACTAAAAGAAAATTCTTTTTTTTTTTTGAATTTTGTCTTAATATACTAAAGAAAATATAAAACAATTTTTATTTTGAGTTCTAGATATTAATTTCCAAAGGAAAACCCCAAAAGATTTTTTTTTGAACTTCTAGAGTTAGTATTCTAAAGAAAACATCTAACAGAAATATAAAAACGCAAAATCTCTTCTTTTTTTTGGATTTTTGATTTATCACACATCTTATTTCTGATACAAAATAGGAAATACATAACGGAATACTCGACATTAATGTACAAAACTAGAAAGTGAAAGACGACGAAAAAATAAAAACAAACTTAAAACATAAAAAATTAAAAAATCTCCTTAAGCCACTTCTGATCGAGCGATCCTGACTAGATGGTCCTGGGGCGTCTATCATGCTCAAACTCCGGTAAGTAAATCCACACCTGTATGAGAAAATTAAGACCAAATATAGTTAAAGACCTAGAAAACTATGTGAGAAAATAACATTCCCTATTGGATGCATGCAAGACATGATTGAGACTATTTTTGCAAAATAACTTATGTGGCCAAAATGGGGCTGGAAGTGCAAAATTTGGCTAAGACCCCGCAAAGCCAAGAACCTAAGATTCACTAGAAAGACCGGACCCTATATGGGTTGCCTACGTATCACGCCCCAAAAGACGAGAATCAGGTATGTGTAGTTCGGGCAGATTGGATACGGGCGAGAGTTAAAAAAACAACTAATTTAGAGAAAAATATATTTTTTGTCTTTTTTTTAAAAAAAATGATGAAACATGTAAATTCTTTTTGAATTTTCTTTTCCTAAAAAATAATGGGAAAGTTCAAAAAAAAATTGGATTTTTTCATTTTTTTGGTCTTTTCTTGAAAAAGCGTGAAAGAAAATTATAACTGGGCCCTACTTGCTTTATTTTCACACTTCACCCTCTTTTCTTTCTCATTTACCCTCAACCATCATTGGTTCGTCAAATGACCCTTTTACCCTTGAAGAAATACAACATGTAGCACATAGGATGCATCGAGATTGTCTGTTATTTTGGGTACACCTATCCTAGACGGACCCAACCCCTGTGTTGAGTCCCCAAAGTCAAATTCGCATGATGCAAACAAACGTTCCTAATAGGGATCTGACGTGAGGTTATGTTATTCTAAGTTTAAACTTAGGGTTGTGTTATTGACCAGGCTTACCCGAGCGGACAACTCGAGCAAATGAGGGGGTAATGTACCGGGAGCACTAAAGTCTACCCGGCCTTGTTGCTGGCCTAGCCTCATTCTATTTGGTATAACTTCTACAAAAAAAGTGGGCCACGCAAATGTGTGCACCATTTTTAGAAGACTCAGAGGGGTGGCATAAGAAGACAGTTATATACAATCCAAATAATATCAAAACGGTAAATAGACAGCAATTAGCACAAAAGGTTCACAAAATACAGTAATATTAATAATAAATGAAGCCAAGTAAAAAACATATTAACAAGCTCGAATTCTTGAACCCTGAACCAGAAGTTCTGGGTTCTCATCCTCAGCAGAGTCGCCAGAGCTGTTACACCTCCTTTTTACCACCCCCGAAAGAGGAATAAGGGAGTTTTTCTAGTTTAAGTGACAATCGAAATAGAATTATTTATATAAAAATCAGAGCCGCCACTTGGGATAATTTATGGTGTCCCAAGTCACCAGTTAAAATCCTGAATCAAGGAAGTTGACTCTATTTATGGTATGCGAACACAGAAATCCGAATAAGGAATTCTGTTAACCCGAGAGAAGGTGTTAGGCGTTCCCGGGTTCCGTGGTTTTAGCACGGTCGCTTTGATCATACTTGGCTTATTAAATTGTCTAATTAATCATTTTAGAACTTATGTGCATTTGCCTCTTTTAATTAAGAAAATATCTTTAAACAAGTCACGCGCACGTGTACCCATTTGTTTGGTGCGTCAAAAATCATGTCACGCGAACGTGTCCACAATTAATAACGCTTGATTTTTATTAAGAAAGTTTTAGCCGAAGTTGCGCGAACGCATACCTCGATTTATTTTTTAGAAATCGTAATTATGTCACGCGAAGGTGTACACAATTACAATTATTTGGTTAATTAAAATCGTGCCTACCTAGGTAATTAAAAAAAGTTATTTTACTTATCAAACTAAACATTTGATGCTCTGTGTAAATAGGCAACATGATCATCCAACTTCCTTAACTGGTGCTAGATTGCCGATGTTTTCAAGTTAGATAACATATAACTACAGAGGTTATTCACTATTTTGGTGCATTTTGTTCTAGGGTATACAAAATCATGCATTATAACACAGTATTTCGTCAGTGATCATATTCTGCAGACTTATTAAGTGAAAAATCTAGATCATCTGTTGAGTATGTTAATTTGAATGCACAACTTTCTCTAAACCAAACAGAAGGAATTGGCAGGAACTTGTTCAGAAGAATGGTGCACTTGGTGCTTAACAAGAAATAGGGATACTGTACTTATGAGGAAAAATAACTAGGCCAGACATGCTAGGTTAACAAAGAAAATTACTTCTGATAATTAATATATGTCCAAAGAGGGGAAATAGGAAAAAGATCAAGGAGATATTAATCTGCAAGGGCACATAGAGAGTTTAACGGAACTCTGTTTCTACTAAAAAATAACACTAAAGTTTACCTCTGAATATTCGAGCACATTTTACAGGTTCATCCACATAAAGACGTTGCAATTCTTGAGCCAATTCGGCCACACTTTTGTGCTCATCCCTTGTCAGGGAAATCCCTCTATTTGTTTGCGTAACCGTAAAATAATCGCAAACGGAACAAAGACTCAATGACCTCGAACGTCTTCAACGCTCAACTTTGAACAAACTCACCGAACGAGCTTCAAAATGGACTCAAACAATAACGGCAACAAAGAGAGAGAAGTCACGAAAAGAGTAGGAAATAGATCTCTGGACGGAGAGCGAGACGCTGCAATGTTTCGCCATTTGATCTGATTTCTGTTGGTCGAATTCTTTCTTGGAAGCTAGATGAGGTGAGGGTTCCAGAGAGTTGGCTTTGTTCTTTGGTGGAGTTGCGACGGCAACTAGTTTAGGGTGAAGGAGACGGATGAAGGGAGGAGGGGAAGTGGGTGGTTTGAATCACATTTTCCGGCTAGCCGGTGATGAAATCCAACGGTGGCGATGGTATTGGAGAGAGGGAGGTGTGGTCGTTTGAGTGTGGTCACTGGTTAGGAGTGTGTGGTTATGTTTTTCGGCAATTTATTGAGAGATTCGGAAGGTGGGTCAAGAAGAATAAGTTGATGCCTTTTCTATGGAAAAGCGGCGGATTCTTCAGGCATTAGGTTAGCTAGGTACTCTAGGGTTGTCAAATGACGTAGGAGAACTTAGGGTCTTGGGGTCCTTCCTGTCACAAAACGGTTGATTGCTCAGTCTTGGGTCTAGTTTGTTTTGTAGGTTTTTTTAGGCAAATAAGCATTAGAGCAAAATTCCAACATTCAGAATTCTCTACCAGGCCTGCTTCTAACATACAAACATCGTATCAATCACCACAGGAGGCACTAATACATGATTGCATACCTTTTCTGAATCCACACTATGCATTGCATAACCCACATGACCATAATAACATCCTCTGATAATAACAGCTGAAATTCTATGAATCTGACGCTCAAAACACGCCTCATGACACATATAAGTCCTATTCCAACTCTTGCAACATTGCCACGACGGGAGAGGTGTGTAGAAATTCATAATCAACTGCTGAGTCAACAAATCATTGAGTCTGTCATCTTGACTAAAACCATTGCCTCATTATGAACCAAATAACTATATTTGCCTTTTAATATACTTCATACAAACCCGGTTGCACCGAATCCCACGTCCAATAACTTCGTCTTACCCAGTATAAGTTGCTCAAGCAATAAACCACCTCAAACACTGCCAAAATCACATATAATGCCGCAATGTGCCAACAAGCTACAAACTCGAATGTGATACATAAGAAACGAACCCTGGAAAGGACTACTCAACCCACGTAACTAATTAGACAACGGAAAAGGTGTTATGATCCTTCCTAAGAAAATAAGAAGCAAAACACACGATAATAGATATAGGAAACTGTACTCAACATCATACAGTTGCGGCATGAAACCTGATCCAAACAACATACCCGTGGTGGCGTGCCACCCCATCCATATATAGAACTCACATAAGGAGATACATACCAAGCTAAATTGCTCATTATTACTAAATGTCGAATATCGGTTGCGAGCACACTAAGTGCATAATACCATCCCTAGGGAGACAAATAGCGCCATAAGCTACAAAATTCAAGGACAACTGAGGTGCGATATATAATCTGAATCACAAGAGCCATCCTACTCACAAAACACCATTGTTATGCGAAACCTCAACATATAAGAAATTCATCAAGCCGTTTCACAACTCACACTGCCCATTATAGCATTACATGAAATGGTCGACGAAGAAATAACATCCAACGTCTGAATACTCCTTTATAAGGAGTGCTATGCTAAAATGAATACATCCGGCCTAATATAGAGTCCACCTTCATACTTAAATCCATCCACAGACCTCAAGCCAATTTTGATCGCACCGCACTAGGCAAATAACCCTTCAAGGGTCCATAACTACCCCTTTTCCTATAACACAAAAGAACAACCATCATAACCGGAGTAAACCTCCACAGTCCTCAACCCAATAATCCGAGTGACCTCCAGGCATAAATTCTCAAATTAGTGATACTACTACAATCTCCACACTTTGTTTAAATCTTCAATTAATCAAGTGACTACATGTCACACTTATACAATCATTGTGTGAGGTGCGCTCCCATGACCTTCCGCACTAGATAACGAGTCTGCACATCCATACCACTAGTCACACTAATGTTGTAAAGCATATCGAGAATCTGTAAACAAGATACAAAGCCTCCGTCACAAAATGCCAATCTCATGTGATGTTGAAGACAATACCAGCTTACTCCAAACATCCAAATCCCTTTCTTGCTCATCCAAGCTCGTGACATCCTTGTCAATATCGAACTGCAATCTTGATCATCACTTTCAAATTTCATACCGCTCACTGCACTTAACATGCCAATATGCGACAGTACAAGGATTTCATCATAACTCCTGAACCACTATTAGGGAAAACACCTCATCACATAGAAACTCTTTACTTATCTCATTCCAAGAGAACCATTGCAACACGTAAGTGAATTCTCATAATCGTAGAACATTCAAATCCTCAAGTAGTGGTCTAAACCACCATGACTTTTCCGGGATCCGCCTACACATAACAAGGTCATAATACTTGAATATTTCCAAATAAAATCAATTACGGCGGCCGTCAATCCTAGCACGTACCGCCACAAATTACATGTATAACTTAATCATGCTGAAAGATCTGATCACTACCACCATTATGCCTATTCAACCATGGCTAACCAATCTAACTTCTTCTAATTCATCCTTAACTTGCCTTAGAGATAATAATAGCTCCATTCCTTACATCGCCAACCTAAATCCGCACTCATCTTGAGTGAACCCATTCCACAAGACCACATTGTCTCCAAACCCATGAACCGTTTCATACCCTCCTTGTACGCACATTCGCATCTACAACTGATACACCAACTCTGATAATTCCTCTATGAATCTGAAGTCTTTGATCTGAAGTCTTTTTCTCCCCTTTTTCCCTCCCAATGCTACACTACAAATCAAAAATATCTTAGAACATTCTGAGTCTCTTATCATAATCTGCTACAATAGCTCGATACTTAACCATACTGCAGGCTTGAATCCTTAGGCACTACATTTTTAACCTTTGAATTCACTAGGACTGTTGTTGAGAGTCACCCATTATGGCTTGGTCTCTGTTTACCATGAAAATGGTAACAACAATTAAATTTGTAAATGGGATTCTAAAAATACGTGATCTATTACCGAGCTGGTCATTAAAGCAGTTGATGCTAAAAATGCTAAGTGTAGTGATAAGATACGAGCTAAGATGAAGCAGTAAGCAAACCGAAGGGGCCTGTTGCCCGGGCGTGGAGCAGACCGATAGAGGCCTCAAGGCTGAGACTCGGGCCAAGTTTGAGCTATCGAGGATAGTCGAAAAGGTGATAACAAGCAGAAATACAATTAAGTAAGGCTCTTTATGGCCAATATTGAGCTAGATGGTGAAGAACAAATAAGAGAAAAACGAGCGATAAAGTGGAATCGGGCCAATGGGAACGAATAACTTAGAAGAAAAGAGAGAGAGAGAGATATTATTGCACTTGTGGATAAATGGAGATGCATCAACCCTTTACAAAGTGATATGGGTTCCCCTTATATAGGCGAGGGAATACGGTATGGTACAGGATGCATTAAATGTAAAGACACGGGAATGGGACGGCTAGGCATGGCATGGAGCCAGAGCCTATTGACTCTAGCTTCTCACCTGGGGAGTCCCCCATCTTCGTAATCTTTGCTTGGTCGCGGACGGACCCCTGAACCTCGGAGCCACTGCAGGACCGCTGATGAACCTCGAGATAGAGAGCCCGATCCTGATCCCATAGCCTCGAGGTGTTGTCTCGATATTCCGAATGGACCTTAATGGCGGGAGATGGATTCTCTCGATTTTGCCCTCAGCCATTTGATCTACGTATACACTTACCCATTCACCCTGGGTCCTGATAAATTTGCCAAATCTCCTTCTTTGGAAATCGACCCGGTTATCCTTGACTTTTGCGCTCAATATCGGTGACCCTCGATCATATCTACCCGAAATTTTTTAGGATCATGTTGATGCTCAGGCATTTTACCGAAGGGGTTACGGGTGAGGTCTTTACCCTTAGCCATTTGATCAGATTGTACCGTCCACGGCTGTATCGAGGCTTAATCAAGCTTCGACAGTGGTCAAAAAAATCTTTCTTCATAAGTGTTGATGAGAGGAAGGACCGGGGATGGATGAGCAGGTTCATTCAAGTGAGGACCTCGGATATCATCCCAGCCCGGAGGATGCCCTTTCCAAAGCGATGGATTGATCGACGTGAGTGAACTTCTCTTTAGCCACTTCTTAATTATTCTTCCATTTGTCATGATAATCCCTTTGTGCTCTCTCTAGTTGTTGCTTGGTATCCCGAGGCGGTCCCAGACTTGGCGAGATGGATCAGGCATTTGGATACAAAGTTCCCCTATCGTCTCCAGTCTTCGACCATCATGTCCAAGAAGCGCTGGGTGGCTAAGAATCATGGTGAGGCTTCTTCATTGCTCGTGCTTCACCTTTTGTTCTTCTTTTCGAACTCTTAGCAGCGGCGTATTGCGTATCTTGTGCTGGTGCAAGCCATGGAGAGAATATGCAGATGAGGCCACCCCCCCTCCCCCCGATGGTGAAGCGGAGGCCTTGGGGCCTGATATGAACAAGAAAAGGAAGGACAGGGTGGCCATCGCTTGTCCTGATAAAACCACTGCCCTAACATCTGGGTCGAGCCCTGATGTTAAGGGGAGGACGAGAATAGAAGTCCATTGAGGAGGAGGACGAGGTCTAGTGTGAGAGATTTACACGTGTCTCAGTCAGAGGCTGCTGAGTCTAGGACAGCTAGGTCCGGCAGGGCTAAAGAGTCAGGGGTCCTCGAAGAGAATGTTGACGTGACTTTGAATCGCGCAGCCAAATTTGATGTGGCTTCCGCTAGTAGGATCATTAGTCCCGATGGTTCGGGGCTCGGGACATTCCAAGGACATGGGCTGCTATTCGGAGAAATCAGCGGCCCGAATGATCTTATTCAGAACTACCCAGTCTCATTAGAAGAGTTGAGGGATACTGAAGGGATGATCGGCGCTACGGTTGGTACTCCTTTCAGAAGGGGAGGCTTTATTGCCAACATTTTTGATGGCGTAATCAACGGAGCTGACCTCGTCATTTCTGGTGCCGTTAAAGAGGCGAAGAAGTCCCTGCAACAGGTGATAGTTTTTCCTTGCGTGTTCCTTTTCGTTCTTGGGCATCATTCATCATCTCTCTTAATCTTCTCGTTGTGTCGTAGTGTAAAGAGGCGTATGATCATGCCATCCTTCGTCTTCGTGAGGAACTTTCTGGACAGGAGAAGGAGCGCGATAACATTGCTTCAAAACTTCAAGACTCGGAGGCTCATGGCGCTCGGGGGAATAAAGAGTTGGGGGAGCTTCGAGTCTCTTTGGAGGCAGTTATTCGGGAGAAGGCTGCTCTTATTGCCCAGGTATTTTGCCTTGCTCACACCTACTTTTTTACTCAGTATCCACACATGTTCTATTATTCATATATCCACTATCTTGCCTTTCGTCGTAGGTCGAGCAGAGCAGCTCGCGGATTAGTCAGTTGGAGGCGGAGGTCTTCAGGCTGAAGGAGCTGAGCGAGG